CGTGGACAGGGAGAAACGCTGCAGAAATGGCCACGTAACACCACTCAACCCCAACCCACACTCCTCACCAAATCACAGCCTCAGGTGCCAAATTCTTGTACCAAGGTCACGTGAAGCCACTGCTGGAGCTCCACATCCCCTGGCGTTTGTCAAAGGGATGCAATCTCAGACTTTCCCCTTGGAATGTCTCTTCCGCATCTCCTTGGAAACTCCAGCCCTTTTAAACACCCCCAAAAGTGACAATCCAGCATCCCAGGATCCCTGAGGGTGGAAAAGGCCTCCAGGATCATCGATTCCACCTTGTCCCCCAGCCCAGAGCACTGAGTGCCACATCCAGGCCTTCCTGGGACACCTCCAGGGGTGGGGACTCCAAGCCTCCCTGGGCAGCCCCTGCCAAGGCCTGACCACCCTTTCCAGGAGGAAATTCCTCCTGATGCCACCTTTCAAACTCCCCTCACTCAACCTGGGCCCTGTTTTGGCTCATCCCACAAGGATTGGTGTCCTATTCCTGGAGGATCCTGTCCCAAGGGAAAGGAGCAGGGGAGAGACACAGGAAACTTCTGGTGTTTTCTTTATTTGGTTGTTGTTTTGTGCTTTGTTTTCCTTATTTTTTTTAACTCCAAGTTGCTCCACGTTCAGAGCAAGCTCCGGAAAAAAAACCTGGCTCAATAAATGAAGGTTTTTACCCTCTAATATTTTACATCACACAGCTCTAAACCCCGAGAGCAAGACAAAGGGATGCTCCAACTCCTTTTACTCCGTCAAACTCCAAACATTTTAGACAGACCGTTTCAAAGATGCCAATAAACAGCTGGATCTTTGCATTAAATGCTTCTGAATATTCCCATTCTTGTTCTCCAGCTGGGATCCCTCTGCTCTGCTCCTGGCTGGAGTGAGGGACTCCACGGATCACTCCAGCTCCAGGTCTCAGTTTTGCCACTTCCAAAGTGCTTTTCCTCTGCTGCCGGTTTTATAGGAAATCAAACAGAAGGAAAACCCAAGGTTGCTTTGCCCCTTTCCACTTCCCAGCTCTCCAGGTTGGGATTTGGAGCCTTTGGCAAGGGCTGATGTGGAGACACATCCGAACCAAACTACATTTTAACGAAGGGTAATTTTAAGGACTAATTAGGACATGTTGACAAGTCTCATTTGGACAAGAGAAGCTTTTCCTGGCTTTTTATGGCTTTGAAGGGAAAGTGCTCAATGATGGACTGCCCCAGAGCACATTTACGCTGGGGTGTAAAGGCAAACCGTGGTTTTTTTCCTTCTTTTTGGAATTCTTTCAGAGTTGTGCTTCCATAAGCTCCAGGACTCATCTGAGCAATCCTATAAAACGCCCAGACTCCGTATTTATGGGTTATTTTGTCGGAAGGACAGTGGAGCAAGAGCAGACAGGGAAGGGTTCTGTCCAGAACAAGTGGAGCAGTGTCCCAGAAATAGCTGGGAAGTGTCCATCATTCCAAAGCACAACATTCCTGCTCTCTGCTCCCACCTGGGATCTGCACTTGCGGTGGACACAGAGGGTTTGGTTCAGTCAGTGGAGCTGTTTGTCAATTCAGACCCTTCTCCCTCCCTTCCTGCCATCCCAGCAAAGTCCTGCTCCATTCCCGGGATCCCAGAAACGCTGGGAATTCTGGTGCCCAAACCATCTTCCCTTATTTTAACTCATTCAAACCCCACCCAAGACAGCCCCATGCGTGTTCCAGACATCCAAACCCTTAATTTCCAGCTTCTCCAACATCTGCCCGGCAAGAGGAGGGAATAATCCCCAGAATGAATGAAATGGGAATGATCGATCAACACCAGCTTTCCTGGATGTAAATATTTACCAGGAATCACTCAACACCAGCCTTATGGGATGTAAATATTTAAGGAAACAGCCAGGGATGCCTCTGCCACCATTCCACGGACATTTAAAGATGTGTCATCAACGAAGATAAAATGATCTTTTAAATACAGCAAACTAGAAAGTATTTTAAAAGCCCTAAATCCCTTTAAAAACCTAAGTGGTTTTGGGGCACACTTGGAGCAGAACAGCAGGAATGTGTATTTATTTATGGATATATAACACACAATTCCTGCTGCAAGGAGGGCTTGGAAGAAGGTTTTTCCCCCCCTTTTTCCAACAATTTTTGGGCAGGACAAGAACCTGTTTCTTCAGGGAATGCATTTCCTGATGGAAAACAGCACAATTCCATCAGTTAAAGCCCTTAATGTGTTTTTTCCAAGCTAGAATTTGGAGACACACCTGAACCAGAGAGAAAATCTGTAACTGTGGCTGCACAAAATGTTGGTCAACAGGGAATTCTCAGGAGTTGTAAAGCAAATTCACCATCCCAGAAAAATGGGGAAATGGGAAGAGTCCCAAAGAACTTCTCTGCACCCGCAGGCAAGACCTAAATATCATTTAAATGGTCGTGTGTCACTTTAAACTCTTTAGTGCTCTTTTAAGTGTCACAGCAAGGAACAAGCTTGAGGAAAAAAAGCCTTTTTTAAATGTATTTTTCATTTAAAAGCACTTTGTAAAGATGTTTGCATCCAGAGTTAATATTTCCCCCCCTACCAAAAAAGAGAAATCAGAGGGTCAGGGAAGTTTTAAAGCACAACAGAGCCAGAACTGTGAGAAATATTCTGAGTCCCAGGCAGTGTTCTATCACTGCCCCAGTCCTGAGCTGATAAAGGACTAAATCCTCACACTAAAGGATCAGCTGTAAAGCAGAAAAGCTGAATTTTGTGCCTAATTTTAAGCCCCACCTCTGTGTCCCACAGCCAAGAGCCTTAAAACTGACCCTGCTGGGCAATATTGGTATTTTAGTGGTGATTTGATGATGGGAATGAAGAGGAACGTCCAAAAATATGCCCCAGGTGAGCACTGCCAGGTGATGGTTGGGGAGGAAAGTCAGGTAAAATAACTGAACCTGATTCTGCAGGTGGTTAATTATGATAGAAAATGATATTGATAAGATAAACCCAGCACCAATTCTACACCAACTGCACTACTGTGACTAATAATGTCATAAAAATGGAAATATCCGGGCAAAAAGCAGATGAACAAACTCAATTCTGGCTGTGCAACACCCAGAAAATCCACATTTCAACCCCCAAACCCGACACCTTTCACCAACACTGAATTCATGGGAAAAATGGAGGGAGAATTAAAAAAATAAACAACTGAAGACGAGATTGAGGAAGAAATATCTCCCATATCATCCACTTCAGGACATTTATAGTAGCTTTTATTAGTCAAGATGGAACTTTATGGGATTATATGACTTAACAGCCACACGTAACAAGCTCAGCTGCACAGGAACACACAGAATTCCATATAAAAGTTGTTTTAGGTGGATCAAGCCATAAAATATTAAATACAGGCTCAGAAAGAAACACAACACCCCATCAACACCCTATTATTTACCTCTGATTTACAAAAAGGTTTGATCCTTTTTAATTACAGGATATATTAAATAAAAGATACATCACAGAACCAAAGCACATATTGGGTACAAGCACCAAAATAAGTATTTTCGGGGGTATTTTCACCAAGATTTATTTACTTTACATGTGAAAGTTGGGAAATAACGATCCCCACAGAAAAAGCAGAAATACTGACAGTCAAAGATTGAGGAAAAAAATTCCCAGAATTATCCTGCTCGTGCCCAAAGACTGACTAAAATCCATAAATAAACGACTCTGGCACCGGGATCAATCCTAAAGCCCAGTTCCAGTGGCTGGATTCGGCCGAGTTTGATTTTAACAGGTAATTTTAGAGCGACAGCGTTCCAACCACACGCTCGATTCTCCCAAAAAAGCACGTGCACAGAACCACAATAAACACATCTGTATCAACACGGAACAACATTCCCGAGTGGCACCTTCATCCCCATTCGTAAAAAAAAAAAAAAAGGAAGGATTTGGGTTGGAAGGTCGGATACGCCAAACTCGCTGCTAAAATTCGAGGCTGGCAGGTAAAAAAGCAGCGGCGACAGGTCGAATAATGCCGATTTTCCAGCTGCCTCCTGCCCGTCCCCGAGAACTCGACTCGGAGCTCTCGGAACTTTCTTTGGCACGAGGCAAAAAAAAAAAACCTGAGCAGAAACCGAACAAAAATCCGAGTGTAGAGGGGGGGGCAAAAAAACCCAAAACAAACAAACCAAAAAAAGTCGAGTTTATACCTGAGGAGCTTCGCCTCGTGTTTTTAAAGCGTTAAAAGTCTGGGTTTAAGATGGTGAATAAGCCCCCAGGAGTAAGGGGCGGGTGGACCGGGATAGGGCGAAAAGGGGCGAAAAATGATTAAAAATAGTTTTAAAATATCAAAAATAATAAAAAAAATTATTTTTTTAAAAAAAATAATTTAAAAAAATCGTTAAAAAATACGGTTAAAAATAGCAGAGGACCCTGAAGCCACAGACCTACCTCCCCGCAGGGCCCTGCCCAGGAAGAAGGCGGATTCCCGGCTCCCTGCCCGGGGGGGGCTACGCCGAGCTCCCCCCGCCCCACACCCGGCGCCGACCCCGCTCCCGCCACCCTCCCGGTGCCCCCGAATATTCAACAAAACCCCTGGTTTCGAAAGCTTTTTTTTACCCCGGCGCGGCCGTCCCGAGCCTCCTCCCGGCCCCGCGCCCGGCGACAAAATGGCAGCGGCGGCGCTGCCCGTCATGTCGGAGGGCGCGGGGCGGCCCCGCCGCAGCGCCGCCACATCGCCTCACAAACCCCCGCGGGCCGAGCGGCGGCGGAGCGGGGAGCGGGGCTCCCTCACGGCCCCTCACGGAGGAGGAGGAGGAGGAGGAGGCGAGGGAAGGCGGGGGGAGCCCAGAACATGGCGTCGCGTCCTACTTGCAGCGCTACCCCCGCCGCCTCGCGGAGCCCCCGCGCCCCCCGCGCCGCGCTGGGGATGGCGGCGGGAGCCGCGGCCGCGCCGAGCCCTCCTCCCTCCCCCGCTTTCCCCGGCCGCCTCCTCCTCCTCCCTCCTGCTTCGCACACGGGGAGTTTTTTAAACTTTAAAGCGCACGTTCCGCCGCCCCGCGCCCGCCTTTGTCCCCCGGACAGCGACCGGGCGCGTCCCGCCGCCCTGCCCCGGGCGCTGCCCGCTGAGGTACGTTCGGCTCCCGTTCGCCCCCCGCTCTCTCCCCCTTGCCCGCGACCCTCCGAGGGGCTGCGGGGCCGCGGCTCCGGAGCCCTCCCCGGCACCGTGAGGGGCCCGGCGGGGTTGGGGGGGACGCGGGGAAGGGGCTTCCCCGGCGCGGGTTCGCGCCCCGCCTGCCCCCGAGTGGGCACCCCCCGCCCACTCTTCGGGGGTGGTTTCCCTGTTTTTGGGGGGGGGGGGGGCCCCCCCCCCCCCCCCCCTCCCCCCCCCCCTTTTTTTTTTTTCTTTTTTTTTTTTTTCTGTCCTGCCAAAGTTTTTCCTCTCTTCCCCCGTTTATTCCGCCAGACGCGGAACAACAACCTGAAGTCCGGCCCCGGGGGGAAGGAAAAGGGGGGGAAAAGGGGGGAGAAAAGGAAAAATACGCACACACATCCAGCCTTTTTGTGCGTGTGTGGGGATGGAGGGGGTGGAGAGTGCGTTGATTTCTTCCAATATTTTTTTTAATTATTATTATTATTATTATTCAACGCTCTCGCGCTACCGGGGCGGCGATGCCCCCATCGCCCCGTAAAAAAAAAAAAAAAAAAAGGAAAAAAAAAAAAAGGCAAAACCCAACCAACGCTAAGCATTGGTTTAAAATTCTTTCCTTTTATCTTCTCAGCATCTGGAGAGAGGGAGAGAGAGAGAGAAAGGGCGCGTTCATGAGGACTACAAAGTTACAAATATGGCTCCCCAGTCTCTCTTGCCTGATCACTGCAAAGAAATGAAGACGCACTTTAAACTAAACCATTCGCAACTCACTCGCAGTCCCTGTCTGCCTCTCCCTGCCCAGCACCCTGCACAAATATTTGCGAACTAAACACGCCGAGAGAGAGAGGAGCGAGCAACTTATTTTTTATTTAACGCACGGCGAGCCCCCCTCCCGAGGCATCGCAGCCCGGCACGGGCAGGAGCGGCCGCGGGTCCCCCCAAAGCACCCCGGGCACCCCCAAACCGGGCTGCACGGCCCCCTACACACACACAGGTAGGCACCTCAAGGGCAGCAGCGGCCCCGCCAACACCAACGCTACACCCTCCCTTCCCCCCCACCCCCCCCAAAAAAAAACCCCACGGGATGCCTTTTTATTATTATCACCATCATTATTATTATTATTATTATTCTCATCATCATCATCATCGTTAATTTTTTTTTTTTTTGGCATTGCTTACATCTGAGGGCGTCCTGTTCCGCAGCTCTAAGTGGATCCTTTTCTTCATGTCCATGTCCGTGGCTAGCGGTGCTGGCGCAGTGACCCCTGTGCGGACCCCCCCGGTCGCGGGGCGCGGAGGGACTCGGGCTCGCCCAGCGCCGCTCGGAAGCCCGAGCGCAGCACCGCGGCGGGCACTAACCTGATAACCGCGGGGGCGGGCGCTCGGGGGGCTCGGGGCTTGACTGACGGCGCGCTCGACCAATCGCCGCGCGCCGCCGCCGCGCCCCGGCCAATGGCGCGCGCCAGGCGCGGCGGAAGCCAATGGGGGAGCGGCGTCGGCCGGGCAGGGGGACAGCCCGGCCCCGCGCCGAGCCTCATTCCGCGCCGCTGGCCGAGGGGGACGGAGCGGCCGCGGCTGCGGCTCCGCGCGGGGGAAGCGCTGCCGCCCCCTCCGCCCGCCACGCTGCGGCCGCCGGGGGGAGGCGGCGCGGGGCGGGAGAGGCGCTAGAGCCGGAGCCGCGCCCGGGCAGGGGCGCGCAGCCAGGAGGGAGGGAAAGGTGCGGAGCGGGGAATGGCGCGGGAATGGCGCGGGCCCCGGCGGCGGGGGGCGGGCGGAGCGCGAGGGGCGGGCGGAGCGCGGGGAGGGGCGGTGGCGCCGCCGCGGCGGCTCTGAGGGAGCGGGGGGGGGGGGGGGAGAGGCCTCTGGGCGGGCCAGGGCCGTCCTCCGGGGGGAACCCGCGGCCGGGGCCGCCCTCGGAGGGGAACCCTCAGGCGGGGGGCGCGGATGGTGCCATTCGGGCCGGGGTAGGAGCGGCTCCGGAGGGATCGGGGCGGTGGGCGCTGCCTGTGACCGGGAATGCTGGACGGTCGGTTCTCCCCCCCCCAGGGGAAGCGCCCTGGAGGTGTTGTGGGTGCGCCGAGGGGCAGCGGGAGCCTCGTAGGGGCTCGTGTTGTGTCCAGCTGTGGGATGGAGAAGGGGCAGGGTCTGCGTGGCCGAGGAGGGGAATCCTGTTCCTGAAGGGAAGGGACAAGAAAGACCGAGAGGGAGTTTTTACAGGAGCCTGGAGTGACAGGACAAGGGTGAATGGGTTCAGACTGAAACGGGGCAGGGTTTAGTTGGAGTATCGGGAAGGAATTGTTCCCCGTGAGGGTGGGGAGGCCCTGGAATAGAATTCCCAAAGAAGCTGTGGCTGCTCCTGGATCCCTGGAAGTGTCCCAGGCCAGGTTGGACTGGGCTTGGAGCAACCTGGTCTAGTGGAAGGTGTCCCTGCCCATGGCAGGGGGTGGGACTTATGAGCTTTAAGGTCCCAACGCAAACCATTCCATGATCCTGTATCCTTTCCCAGGCAGCTGCAGGGATGAGGTGCCAGCTGTGTCCTGGCAGGGCTCTCTGTGTCAGGTGCCAACCTCCACACCTGCTCCTCTCCATGGACTTGTTTCGTCAAACCCAGGGCGCCACTTCCATCAGGGGAAGCAGCACACAGGTAAATTGTGCTTTATTCCCTGCTGAGATTCCTGCCTGTCCCTTTGTGCAGTCCCTCGGCTCTGGGGGGACTTGCTCACCTCCACCTCCCGTGGCTCAAAAAGACAGGGCTGTAAAAATCCCTGAGAGTTGTTGGAAAGATTTGATACTTGGTGTCAAAGATGAGAATTGCTGAAAAACTCAGTCTTACCAAAATACTTTGCAGTGCAGGACAGAGATGAAGCTTCACCTGTGTCTGTGGATAAACTGCCATGAATGTAGGTGACAACTAAGCAGGAATTCTGTTGGGAGAGTGAAAGGAAAAGGTCCAGCTGAATCCAGCTTCAGGTAAAAATTGTAACTTATAGTACAGTCCCACTGGTGTTCTGCAGCAGGGTAATATTTTTGAGATGGTTTAGGGCCTTATTATGATTTAGCTGTTAGAACCATCGAATTTTGGGCTTGGGTGTGCCACAGACAAGATATTTATTGTTCTGTGGCTCTGATTCCAACATGAGGGAACTTACTGCATACAGTTAACATCCTAAACCTTTACAAAACATTTAGGACTTGGGGACGAGGGTGAATTTTATTTTAGCTCTGTTTTAAATTCTCCTTTCCAGGTGTGACCAAAGGTGGCCCCTGGGCTGAGGCTGCAGGAAGGTTTGGGCTGGAATTTGTTTTCGTGGAGCGGGTGAAGACTTTTGGAAAAGAACTTTTATCATGGCAACAAACTGTTTATAAGTATATACTCCAACAAGGAGTTTCTGGGAGTACAGACAGGCTTTTCCCTTTGTTTTCTCAGAAGAAAACAACGCTCTAATTATTTAAAGTTGTATGAAATGCCCCCCTACGAACTGCTGGGGGGAATTTATTCCAAGTTCAAAGTCAAAATTAAGTCTTTAAAACTTGTTGGTTGTCCCTCTGCCCTTTTCACGTGCACGTTGCTGGGGAGTCTGGGAACTAAAAATAAATGGAAATGTTTGGCAGGATAAATATCTTGAGCATCCTATCAAACTGGAAATAAATTTTAAATAACATTTGTGCAGAGTGCAGCTTTTTCTTAAGAAAAAAAAATCTCGTCACTGGGCCTATCATACTTTTAGGCTACAAAAAAGAAAGTCAAAGAGCTTTAAAAATGGATGTGATTGTGTCACTTAAATTTGAGGGTTTTGTTCTCCGTGTGCTGACGCGGTGGGTGTGGAATCCCTCCTGGAATCCTTAAAGGAGTGGAGCAGGAAAAGCTGTCTGAGCCCTGCTTACTGTGGTGGGAGCTGCTCTGTGGCATCCCTGGAAGATTAAAATATTCTCCATTTCTCTCTGTGCACTCTGGGTTTGAAAGCTCAAGTACAAAGACATGAACGTTGTGAGTAATCAGTTCGTGTTGCATTTTTGGACACAGTTCACATATCCCTCCAATTTCTTCATCGCTCAGAGTAATTTGTTGTTAATTATGTGAAAAGGAAGTTCTACACATGCTTTAATATTAAATGAAATATTAAAACACTCTTTAGAGGAACTCTTGAGGCCTGGCTGAGCCTGAGGTGCATTTTCATGTGCTGCTGTGTTTTCACCTCTCAGGTCTTTCCTGATCCAGCTTTAAAAAACATTTAAATAACAACATTTTGGGCAATCCGTTGATTTTATCCCCAGTTTGTATTTTGCTGTGGATCATTCACTTGCTTTTGGGTTTTTTTTTTCCCTGTTTGTTTTTTAACAGGAATTGTTTGGTTGTTGTTTTTTCTTGGGTTTTTAAACAGGAAGTTTGTTGGGTTTATTTCTTGTTTGTTTTATTTCTTTTATTTCTTGTTTGTTTTATTTCTTTTATTTCTTGTTTGTTTTGAACAGGAATTGTTGGAGGTTTTTTTTGTTGTTGACAAGAATCCTTGGAGGCTTTTTCCCTTGTTTGTTTTCCACAGGACTCCTGCAGCCCCACATTTCCCTGATTCCATATGGAGGCTCCTATACATTAAGATGCTCATCCCATGTGGAATCCTCCTGGATTCTGTGTCTGTAAAATCCCTGGATTGGTGAGCATTTGCTGGAAGGAGCTGCTGGTTGTTTTTTTGTGCCTTATAATACCCCTTTGTGTCTCAGTGGGGTCCTGTTTGTCCCTGCTGCCTCCACACAATACATTCCTTCATGTTTGGGGCAACATCTTCCTCATTCCCTGCTTTGTATGCAAATCTGGGAATGGCACAGGGAAAACTCCCTTCTTAAACCCTCCCTCTTCCCCTCTCCCCTCAGCAGAGCTGGAAGATGGTCAGTACGGAGAATTTAGACCAGTATTAATCACTGGGATCCAGGAATTCTGTGGCAAAGGGACAAAAATGAGCACTGGGAAACGATATAGGTTTTTTTACAACACCAGTTTGTGCTTTGAGATCCTTAAAATCTGTTTTGAGCAGCATTTCAGGTGGGAAGTTGATGCTCAACCAGGAAACTCGGACAAGAAATGAAGAAAAGGGGATTTAAAGCAACGTGTGCAAGGGGAAGGAGCTGCTTGAAGGTAGAAAACAGGGAGAAAAAGAGAGAAATAATTCTGGGATGTCTCAAAAACTACCTTTTTTCCCTCAGAGTGAAATATAGGTATTATTTCCCTTTTTTTTTCCCCCTTTGTTAAATATATTTTATGTTTCCTTCTAAGACTTGTTAAGATGAGGTTTGAATATTACTAGTTTTGTAACAATATTCAGTATTTTTTTACTGCTGTTGCTTGTCCTGCCCACGATCAACTTAAAAACTTTGATAAGATCTCATTAAAGACAAAAAAAAATTAGGGATTAGCTCAATTGCTGGATAAATCTTCAGGATAATTTGGGGGAAAATGTGTGTAAAACATGAAAGAGAAGAAAAAAATAGCACAACTTGGAAGTGAAATGAGCAGCTGATGCAGCTTTACTGACTGGTTTGTAGGGAATCAAAATAAAAGAACTTGTTAGACCTGTGAGAGGGTGGAAAATCAGGTTTTTGGGGGTTTTTTAAGCCTGTCATAAATCTACGAGTGTGTCAACACGGAAGGAGGAAAAGAACTTCAGAGATCCTGAGAAAATTCCTGAAAAAAGAGGGTAAGCTCAGCAGAATAAAGCCCAGAATCAGAGGTAGGAATGAAAAAAGTCAGTTTTTAGGACAAAATCAGGCAGTTACAGACAAATGAAAAGCTCAAACCGTGTGTTGGTGTGTTTTGTAACCAAGGTGGAAAACAGGTGGATACAAGAACGGTGTCAAAAATCAAGTGTAGAAAGTGAAGTTTATTTCAGGGAGTTTGCAGGATTGGCTGGGCTGTTCCTGAAGAGGACAAGAGACACTTGGAAGATGAATTAAAATAGGAAATTTGGGAATTCTGTGCACGTTGGGATAAATCCAGAGGCGTTTAGTTGGTTTTTACGGCAGTTTCCCTGAGCGACTTGAAGCGACCAGAGTGCGAAGGCAGGTTTTCCTTTTAGGAATCTTTACCCACCTGTTTGCTCTTTGCCAGGGAAAACCAAACAGGGAACGTCCTCATGGGTTTTCCCCTTTGCAGGTTGGGATGCAGCAGAAGGAATTCCCAGCTCTGGGACCCCCCGGAGCAGCGGGAAGAGCTCCTTGCACGGCGCGTGCAGCGCCGGATGCGGGAGCTTCCAAGTGGGCCAGTTGGAGCGGAGGAGATGAAAGTGAGGACAGTTCTTGGGCAGGGATTTCCAGAGGAATGTGATTCATGGGATAGCTCCTGGGGTAATTAGGGCTGCAGCTGCTGTGGGAACCTCTGCCAGGGCTAAAAAAGTCCCTAGTGGCCAGAGGAGCGTCAGGGGAAAGGTGGGAGGAACGTTGGAGTCACCTCCGGGCACCGCCACCTCCACCCCGGGCACAGACACAGATCCTGCTCCCAGGATCCCCTCACTTGTCCAGGCTGGGAGAATCTTGGAATCCCAGGTGGGTTTGTGTCCTCTGTAAACACCAGTGAATGGCAGGGATGTAAAGGGACTGAGGTACTGGGATAAATCCCGTGGAATTCGAGCAGAAATCCAACCCCTCCAACACACACCCCTTTTATTTGTACCCCTCATTCCACAAGGTTTTATTTCAGGAATCATTTCTTTCAGTCCTATAATAAATAGGACTTTTCAACCTCTGATAATACTTTGGTATTCCTTAATTTTAGGTCACAATTTTTATCTGTTGATATTTATTTCCAATTATGTGGAATGGAGCATTTTAGATTTGATGCAAAATGAGTGAAGAGCTCTTTAAAAATTTGGGGGGAGAAGGGACAAGGAATATTCTACTTCCTTTTAATATACATTTCTAGTTAAAATCTTTTACTGGGAACTGGGGGCTTGTGAAATACTAACCCCAGACTATTGTTTTCTCTCACTAATGTGTCATCAAACCTCACTTTTTTAGCACTCAAAGTGCAAATTCCAGCTCTTGTTGGCCACAGTGGATTCCTACCCATTTAAATTCAGGCAAAAAGTCCTACACCAATCCTACTACAGGATTAACTTTACTAGACGAAAGCAGGGTGAAAACTGATTATTTTAAAAATTTTAAATCATTTTTTTAAGTCAATTAAAAATAGTTCTAAAATGAAACCCACTGTTTCAGCAGGTTTAAAAAAGAGCTCAGCTCATCCCAGAGTGTTTTTCCTCAACAATTGGGTCCTCACAGTCTCCAAAGTAGGTTAATAAATAGAGTTTAATAATCCTTTAGTTTCTCTGTGGCTTCGTTTTCCTGCTTAACACGAAGGTCTGGGGTGTTGGACATCCAGTGTTTTTTTTTTCCTAATTGCACAAACAATGGGATATGAAATTCCTGTTGTATCCAGCACCCTGAGAGAGGATTTTGGCAACGGGAATGTTTGTGGGATCATTCATAAGGTTGGGTGAAGTCTGTGAGATGCAGAATTCAGAGGATATTTGTGCCCATTTTAGGTGAGAAGGTTGAGGTGAGTGATGAATTCACCACGTGGGACACCTGGACTGGCCAGAACTTGGAATTCCTGACGGCAGAGTTGCCTTTCCTTGCTCCCCCTGAGGGATTTGGTGCTCCTTGGACACTCAGTCTGCAGATGTGTGGGATCTTCTGCCAGTTTGCAGCCCAACTATAAAATGAAATGTGGCTTTTTTCAAGACATGGAGGAATAAAAGGCAAAATAAATTGCAAATTGAAGGTAAAATATGCAGGTACTTGATCAGAGACAGACTGAAGGGAGAAGGAAGCAAGTTGTGTGGCACAGAGGTTTTGATCAAACTCCAATTAATTTGAAAGCAGAGTTAGTGGTGCTGTTTCCATGGGTTCTTTTAGCTCCACTTCTGCTCTGGGAGCAAAGAGGAACCAGGAAGTTTCAGCAGAAGCTGCTGGGAAACATCAGCATTTGAGATCTGGCATTTAATTCCGATGTAATTAAATAAATCTCCTGGAAATAATCAGGGAATGCTGCTCCTCCTGTGGTCACGGCGTAGTGTTTTCCCTCCCAGGTGGGTTTGGAGCTTCTGGGTGGCAAAAGCAGGAATTCTGCAGGTGTAATTCCAAAGGTGTAATTCCGGAATGTTCCATGTCTGCTAGCAGAGGTGGTTGCAGGAGTGAGGGAGGACTTGGATAAGGAGAGAGGGACAGGGATTTTGGACGAGGGCTTGGAGAGACAGGACAAGGGGAAATGGTTTCCCACTGCCAGAGGGCAGGGTTAGATGGGATAGTAGGAAGGAATTGTTGGCTGTGAGGGTGGGGAGGCCCTGGAATAGAATTCCCAGAGAAGCTGTGGCTGCCCCATCCCTGGAAGTGTCCAAGGCCAGGTTGGAGCAACCTGGGCTAGTGGGAGGTGTCCCTGCCCATGGCAGGGGATGGAATTATGGAATTATATCATCTTTAAGGTCCCTCCCAACCCAAACCATTCTTGGATAAGTACCATTCAGTTTTCCTTCATTTGTGGGGTGTGGGTCTCCACCTCCTTATGGAATAGGATCCATGTCCCCCCCGGGAAAGGGAGGCCTTGCTGAGCCCCAGCTCCCAGTGCTGCTCCAGTGGAACACATCCCACAGTTGTTATTCCCTGGGTTCCAGCCAG